ACAAGCAGATAACAGCCGGCCACAGTTCACCAAGGAGCTATTTGTGGATTACATTACTGAGTGGATTGTTGCTGACGATCAGGTGTGCTTTAAATTTACATTTTATTGTGCTTTAAATCTGAATAAATATTTGCAGCCTTTACGCGTCATTGAAAATCCACAGCTTCGCAATATCTTTCTTTTGCTTCGTTCTGAGCTGCATGAGAAAGATATTCCTGGGCGGACCACTATCCGAACACGAGTTGGTGAGGTTTTTGAAGAGTATCTCAAGGAGCTTAGCCAGGATATGAAGGTAAGTGGCGAAAAAATTACAAAAAAATTCTGCTCTAATTCCTAATTATAGAATGCAGTTGGCAGCATATCCTTCACAATGGATATGTGGACTGACCCATTCTTATCGCCGTACATGGCAGTTACTGCACATTGGCTGCAGCTTGTTCTTGAAGATCGTGGTAACGGACTTCAGCTGCAGCTTCGACTTCGTGCAGATCTTATTGGCTTTCATCGTGTCCCCTCCAGACACACCAGTGAGCATCTTGCGGCTGCATTCCTTTATATCCTGGACCGTATCAAGATCACAAACAAGGTACAGCCATTTTAACAACTTAAAATGATTAAACCACTTACTATCCTTTAAAAATATATAGATTGGCTGGATTACAATGGACAATGCAACAAACAATGACACCTGCATGGAGGCTCTTGAGCAAACCTTGCGAAAGCGTGGAATTGCTTTTGACAAGCTTCAACGTCACATTCGGTGTGTATATTTCAATAAATCAATTGCAGTTTATTGCTCAAAATAACTGTAGCTGCTTTCCACATGTTGTCAACTTAGCATGCCAAAGTGTTCTTAGTGCTATAACTGAACTTGAGTATGTCAAGGAAACGTCGCAAGATTTCGAGCCAGAAAAGTTTTCGCCACGCAATTTTCTTGATGCAGTCAAACGTGACCCTATCGCAACTTTACGTTCTCTCATTAGAGCAGTAAGTTTAATTTAATCTATACAAGATAGTAATTTGCCTTACCTCGATGTATAGATTCGTGCATCTGCACTGCGTCGCCAGCATTTTATGCAGATTTTAGTCAACATGGATATGGCCATTCTGCAGCTTCTCAAAGACGTTGAGACACAGTGGTCATCAACATATCTCATGATAGATCGGGCTATTCTACTTCACGAGGTAACAATTTATTTTGGCATACTGTATACTTTCAGGCTTATTTATTTATAGGCAATTGAACAATTTCTCTATGGTTCAGAGTTTGCAGAACTTCGCAAGTATAGCATGAACAATGAAGAGTGGAAAGCTTTGGAAGTATTCCACAAGATCCTTCAGGTAAGTTTAGTTTTCTTCATTTATCCAAGTAATAAATTAAACATGAATAGGTTCCACATGCGTTTCAGCAGCTTTTATCTTCAGAATCTACGCCAACACTCATTAGTGTTTTATCTGCATTCGAAGCCATGAAGCTACGCTGGCAGGAGCAACAGGCAAAAGTATCCAACGCAGCTGGAATTATTCAGCAAGGTCTGGACAAGCTTGAAGACTATCGTGATCGCAACCGCAGCTGTAATGCATATACTTTGGCCACTGGTAAGCACAGCTTTAAAGCTGCTGAAATCTGAAGCTAAGTTTATTAGTCATCAATCCTGCATGTAAGCTGGAGTGGTTTGAGCAAAACACTTCACCAGCAGAAGCGGCTGCAGCAAAGAATCTATTTTTAGCTGAGGTGCACTTTTACTCATATTTTAATCTTCATTTCTCTCTATATTAACATTCATTTTACAGATGCGCAAGTATAAATCCAAGATGGCCCCTTCGGCCTCGGCTCCGGCAGCTGCAGTGATTCAAACACAGCAGCAAAAGGCCTACGACATTTTATTCAAGGGTAAAGGAAAAGGTCCATTGGCTGAGCGT